AGAAGAAGCTGGTGTGGGAGTCTGTGTGTCAGACAGGGTACTACTGTGTGTCAGTCAGTACCAACCTGATAGGTTTAGGTGTCTGTATGGGTAGCCAGAACTGATAGGTTCAGGGTCTGTGCTTATTTAAAGGTGTTCTGTGTGAACCAAACTGGTGTATGTATGATTGAGACTAAGCCACGTTACTGTATCTTATTCATTTGATCATTTTATTTTCCCTGTGTGTGATTTGAATAAACCTTATTCCTTTATTTGTTAAAAATCCATTCCTGGTCTGTGTGACTCCTTACAGGGGATGGTTGGTGGCAGCTTAGTGAAACTGTGGCATATCCCAGTAGGTCTGGGGTTGTCACAGGAATATTCCCTTAAATGACTTATATGTCTCTTTCCATCTCCCATAAATAGATGGGAATCCAAATATCTTGGATTCAAGAGCCTCATCTGATCTTATAGTCTATTTTCCCATTTGCTTTAAGATTGGGGTTAAGTAAGGTTAATTTCTATTTTTAGAACAGAAACTAGAGCTGGGAACATTTGTATAAAGGATTTTATACAAGTAGTATGTTTTAAAGCAATTTTCTGTTCATTGGTGTTAAAAATGTAGAGCAGGACTGGGATATTTCGGCTCGTCTAGGGGCCAGCTCCTCCCTAAGAATCACCCCAGGCTTTATCCTTGAGAAAAATGTGCCTTCCCCCACCATCCCAAAACATATTTTTGCTAAAGCAAGCACACACCTTGCTTAACAGGACAGCCAGACTTGTTAGAATCTTCTGGGGTCATGGGTCTCCTTTTTCTAAATCCCCCAAATCCTTCAGCAGTGATGGGAGTTAGAAGGACTATAAAATGAGGGGGAGGTTTGACTACCTCTGTTTAGGTGAAATATAATTTTCTGAAAACTAGTAACTGTATAATAAAGCATTTTGTGATATTGGACAAAAATAGATATGTGAAATTTCCTTTATTTAGCACAGTCATTTATATAGCTCTGTTATTTAAATTTGCTAGGTATAAAATGTAAGAGTTACTCTATTTCTATTTATCAGTAGTGTGGAAAAAAAAATACCACCAGGCCATATTTTCTACATATAGGATAGAATCCCATGTTCCCAGTACAGTTCATTTCTCTTGCTTCTAAATAAAGGAGCGAGGTGAGAATCATAAAGGTTCATGCTCATTACAAGCACTGATCTTTATAAAAAATAACTGGCATGATCAGCATAAACAGGGTTTTAGACAGTCAGTGGTAAGTATTGCTAAAGTCTCACTAGTAACATTTAGTCTAACTAGATTTTACAGTGATACAGACTGGATTGTCTGTTGGAAATGTAGGTCATGGTTAGTTTCTAAAAAGTGAAGTAGTAGTTGAAATTATAAGCACATGAGAGATGTGTAGACGGGGACATGGGCAAATGTGTCACTTTTGCACATTACTTCTCCCCAACCCTACCTTGGCAGCAACCCTGAAATTGTCAGTAACAGTATCCCACCACACACACCAACACAGCACTGTTAGATGAAGATTAAAGCTCTGACTACATGGGCTCTTTTGGAGCAGAGTGCTGCAGGCTAAACAGGGTCACTTGAGGTTGGGGGAGGAACAGTATTCTATTTGATGTAACTCTTACATACCACACTCAAGCAACCTTATTTACTCCGACTCCCTCTGTTGTCAGTTTCTGGTATTGTGAAGTGTTTTAATAAATGAGCTATTTCAGGATAACACTGCTGTGCTGAATCACTTAGATTTAACCTTTAAAAATATTTGCTGTGCCTTGCATATCGCACCAATTGAGAAAATACCTGCAACCGTCGTTTCGATCAATCAAAAAAGTTGCGGGTAGGGACACTCTGGAGACAGACTCTGGTTGCTGGAAGAATGAGTGAACCAGCCACCACCTCCTTACCACATTGAACAATGGATCAAATGCCAGTCTGATCGAGCCCCAATTTCATTTGTTTTTTATGGTGTCCTTGTTTTCCCTTTTCCCGTTGTCTTTCAGCTGACAGCACATTTGACAGTGGACAGGGATCAACTGTTTATTCAGACTCTCAAAGCAGCCAGCAAAGTGTTATCTACTCAACTGTGCCCGATGCAATGCCCCCTGCTATTCAGCGGGTGTATAGCCCACCTCTCAGTGAAAGCCAGACTTTGCCCCAAAGTCTTCAGCAGTTGGGACCCTACCAGCAGCCTTCAGGAGTAAGTATAAGGGCTGTCCTAAAATACTTTACGTTTCTGGATCCACTTACACTTCTTCTTAAACAGTACACATTTCCAGGCTCTAGTTATGTACCGCCATCCACTTTTTCTTGTATGTGAGAGTTAGTGCCATGAAAAAAAATATATTATCTGCTATGATACATTTGTTTTTTATATAGTGTGCTCTAACAAGCGAAGTGGGGAAAGTACATTCAGCGTAATGGAAGTAAGCTGATTTGTTTAGCTATGTTGTTACGTGCCATGAAGTCAGAACTGATTTATAGTGACCCTCATCAGATTTTCAAGGTAGGGTTAGGTATTTAAGGAGTGGATTTACCAGCTGCACTCCCTCGGTGAGTTTCCTTGGCACAGCCAGGAATCAAACCCAGGTCTTAGTTTAAGGAGTGGATTTACCAGCTGCACTCCCTTGGTGAGTTTCCATGGCAAGCCAGGAATCAAACCCAGGTCTTAGTCCATTACTCTGTCCACTACACCACACTGGTTGCCCCTTTCGTTTAGCTTAGGAACAGTTTAAAATCCCCTACACATACTTGTTTTGAGAATTATTTTAGTCGTATTTTCTTATTACTTTAGATCTATATATTATTGTTCCAAAAGATATTCCTTAGAAAGGCCAAGCATCTTCTCAGTACTTTTGTAGCTGTTTCCTGGCGTGTGAAGAAGCTCTTCTGTTGTAGAAGATCAAAAATCTAATGACCAGTAGTATCTGGGAAGTCATCCGCATTTGTTCTTGCTACAACAACCTTGTCCAGGTTGAACATGAATAGAACTGTCACCGAAAAAAGACCTGCAAGCAACCAGACATGAATCTTCTCCTTTTTTTTCTAATGACAAAGCTGACACATACTTTACATGCGTCTCCTCCTGGACTGCTGGGACACGGCGCTTCTGTACTGTGCAGTATTTGTTGCCAGTGATGCAAAGCAGTTCCTGTCATCACAGTGATTCAGCAGTAGTTTTCACACCAAATGTGGTGCCTTTTGCAGAGGAACCGCTGGGATCAAACCAAAAGCCACTGCAGGGGAAAGAAGACGAATCAGTCGAATCACAGCTAGAAGGATTACAGAAATCTTTTCATTCTGCAAAGTTTATGCTCATTAAACCCACCTGTCAGGAGCGTCGGTTGTATTTGATTCACTCTGAAATAGATAAGAGCAAAACTAAGTTATTAATGTCTCTTGAATGTGCTATATATAGTCCTTCTTCTGTAATGATCTAAAACCAATTGTGTATCTAAAATGAAGCTGGTAATCTTTATAGCCAAACTCTGGATTTACCTTTATTAAATGAATCCTTGCAGCAACCCATTCTCTAGCTTTGCTCAAATGAGAACAGTAGAAACCCTGTGCTCAGATATCATTTCTACATATAAACATACACAATCCTATAAAGCATTTAGCCCAGATTAAATTTCATTTAAATAGAACAGTTACTTGACTCAGGTTGGGCAGAGCAATGGGAAAAGTCTCACCAGACCAAAAAAATAAAAATGACAGTGATGTGGTAGGTGAAATTCCTTCTTGCTTCTTTCTTTGACAGTAGACTGAGCAGTTCCAGGACTGATATTCTTTCCCCTACAGACTGACTTTAAAACTATTAGGGGGGAAAAAAAAACACCTGCTTGACCTCCTTTCTCTTCTTTCCAAAAATTCTGTGATAAACCCTGACCTATAGTAAGTATGAAAGGGCCTATGAATTCCATGACAGCTGCAGTATTTTAAGAAGGGCAGAGTGGCACCCAGGATCTTGCTCCCTATTTGGAAACAGTGGATGGAGCTGAGACATCCAGCGCAACACCTTGTTCTGCAGGGTTCGATCATCTCCCCAATGCTGTTTAACATCTATATGAGGACATTGGAGGGGGGGGTAATCCGGGGATGTGGAGCTTCGTGTCACCAATACGTTGATGACACCCAGATCTACATCTCCTTTTTTCCATCTGCAGTGGATGCCTTTCCATCCCTTGGGTGCTGCCTGGAGACCGTTCTGCAATGGATGCAGTCGAATGGACTAAGGTTGAACTTGGAAAAGACAGAGGTCTTATGGGTGGGGCCCCCCAATGTCAGTGGTTTGGGGAACTCCCTCTCTCACCACAAAGAATTCGGTTCACAGTCTGGGGGTCCATCTTGACCTGGCGCTTACCATGGAAACCCAAATAGTGTCTGTGATTCGGCCTGCCCATTTACATCTTCGGCGGATATCCCAGCTGCATCCCTATCTAGACATGGGGGCGCTCATCACACTAGTCCATGTGCTCGTAGTCTCAAGAATAGACTACTGTAACACTATCTATATGGGGTTTTCTTTAGGACTGATGCAGAAGCCTCAGATGGTCCAGAACACGGCGGCCAGGCTATTAACAGGGGTGGAAAGATTTCACCATATTTTCCCTACTCTGGCCGCCTTACACTGGTTACCTATCTGCTTCCGCATTGATTTCAAGGTGTTAACCATTACATGTAAAGTCCTTAATGGTTTAGGACCTCAATACCTGGCAGAGCATTTTCTTCCACCCAGTTCTACCTGTATTGCCCACTCCAATCAGGCTAGGCGGCTTTACCCAGTTCTACCTGTATTGCCCACTCCAGTCAGGCTGGGCGGCTGAGGCCCGGTGGGAAAAAAAACAGAAATCAGGCCTTCTCTGCAGTGGTTCCTCGACTTTAGAACAATTTATCTGCTGAGATCCACCTGGCTCCCTCACTGAAGGCCTTCAAGACTATCTTGAAGACATGGCTATACAGGCAGAACTTCCCTACAGTCAACATGGCTATACAGGCAGAACTTCCCTACAGCCAATACCTAGCCTATCTCCCCTTGTCTTCTTTTTCTTTTCTCTCCTTCCTCTTCTTGCCCCCCCCCTTTCTTTTTTCCTTTCCTTCTCCCATTTTCTTCTTTTTCTTTTCTCTCCTTACTCTTCTTTCCCCCCTTTCTTTTTTCCATTCCTATCTTGGATTAATCTGGATTTTTTCTTAGTTTATTTTTATATTATATGTAAACTGCCCACAGCAGACACGTTCTATATGGGCAGTATATAAATCAAATAAATAAATAAAATGTTACTTCACGGTTTCATACCATGTATACTTCTGTTGTTCCTCATATATATAGAATACATTGTGAGTTTCACTCTTAACTTGCTGCTTCACCATGTGAAATGGACCTTTGGCTAGCTACGACAATTCAGCCTATTTTTGTGTACATTCTTGCTAGACTTACTGATTTCTTTGATCTGACTTTCAGTTGTCAAGAATCAATATGACACCTGTGGTTGTTTCATATTTATTTAACTGAATACTTGTTCATAAAAGTGCTTTTTAGTTCCTACAGCATAAAAGTATTGAATGTTAGTTTGGCCATTAATGGATCTCAGTGGGAACCACTGTCAGGCCTACTCCATGTGTCTTCAGCACTGGGCCACCATAGAGTTAATATGTCTCCACCCACGCCCATGGAAGATGCCAGGAGGACTGCTAGCCATGCAGATAAAGACTCTGTGATGAACACCAACAACACAAAAGCAAAGAAGGACACTGGACCATAAAGTTCTGAGGCTGCAGAACCTTTTGAAAGCTCCAAGACTGATGAAACAGGGTGGGATATGATCAGAGGGATTCTGGGGTGGAGGGAGGGAGGGAAGAGGAAAATATAAAGGAAAGGAGAGTAGGGCAGCTTCACTGGAGCTTAGTTTATGGGCAGTGGATGTCAGCCACAGGTGACTGGTGAGGAACAAGAAATGGGAGGAGGAGAGGGGGAGGGTCTGGGCACTGACATGCCTCAACATGAACCTCCCAAAGAAGCCTTCTAAAACTCCTGCTTTAATTAGCCATGCAAATCTGATCCCCACACATTTGAATCAGCGGAGAAGAAAGACACAAGTTGAACATTTCCATCATTTGAACGCAGAGGATCCAGCTATCAAGAGACTGACACACCTGGGAACATGCTTCAACACACACTCTTCATATTTTGGGACTACGATGCAGCTGTTGGAAGAGGATGCAACTGTTGCGCTTACTTTGAAGCTCTCAGGACATTAGTGTTCAGAGTCATTTCTGTCTTACTGCAGCTATTCTACACACTCTGCCGTACAGTTGGGATCAGAAAAAGTTTTCAGATTGGATTGACTTTAGAAACTTTTCTCCTCCCCAAATCACAATCCACCTAGGGATTTTGGTCATTTCAGTCTCATTGACTTAATGTTCTTCCTGGAGTTAAAACCGATTATAAAGCTGTTTGCATTTATTTTAAATTTAAAATTATCTGTGCCTTTATTTTGAATTTTAAATTATGGACAAATCAGTTCTTGTAGGGTTTAGTATTCTAAAGCAGTCCTTGTGGGGTTTCCCTTTCCTTTTCAGCCTGGACTTCCGATAGTTCAGCCTCCACCTGCTGTTGTTCCCCCACGACCACAACACTATCAAGAACCAGCGATCCCATTCCCGGTTGTCCATGCCACCTCAGCTGCTCCCGTGCAAATGAGACAACCTCAGCCTGTATTATCCAGCCAGCCGGTAAGAACATTTGTTTTGGTCACTGTAGAAAGATAGAAGCTTTTCTTAATTTGTGTTGCAGGCATTATGTGCATTATAACAAATGTCCTAAATGTGGTGGGGTTTTTTGCAAATATTCAAATCTACTGTCTGAATTTAAACCAGACCCTCATTTAAGTGTGAGTGAAACTAGTACACATAAGCCAAAGAGACTTGAGAGCTCTAACATATTTATACTCCATCCCTTCCTGCTACAAATTCCAGGTCTTTCCCCTCATCTGACCTACCAAATTTATTTTCCCTGAAGCATTTTAATCCCATTCTTCCATCAAAAAAAGGCTCCTAGAGCAATTTACATAAAATCATCAGTCTAAAACCCAAGGAGAAACCTACAATTTCATTTGTTTGTTTGATTTATATACCACCCTATTAGTGCAAACACTGCTCTAGGTGGTGAACAGATTAAAATTTAAAAGCAAGCAAGACCCCATGTGTAGCAATTATTCTGCCTCAGAATAATCTCATTGGTCACGATATTGCCACTGTGCAAAGCTCCCAGCTGAGGGCGAGAAGAGGCCAGTGGAGCATCTCTCTCCGTAGAACTGATGAGGTGGCTGTAATCCCAGTTTCTGCCTTTAGTGCACCTTGATGGAAAGGCTGTTGCCAGGCTTAAGTGAGAGGGCAAAGTAATTCCCCAGTGGCCAGGACACCACCACATTTCCCATCACTTTCTTCCTTTGCTACCCCCTGACATAACTTCTGAGCAGAAGTTATGGGGAAGGTGATCACTGGTGAAAATGTTGACTACCCCCTGACATAACTTCTGAGCAGAAGATATAGAGTTGGGGAAGGCGATCACTGGTGAAAAGGTTGGAAAGGTTGGTACACACAGAACTGTATCTGTCTCTCAGACATGCAAATAAAACCACTGTATCCCTTCTAACACACTGACCAATGATCTGAACTGAGCTACTAAGTATGTTTCAGGCTTCAGATATACAGTACTGTTGCCCATACCAAATATACTTTTACAGTGCAAGCACACACAGAGAGCCAATTTTTGGTCTATTTCTGTGATTTGAAATCTAGCCAGTTTTGCAGGTTTTCCCAGCACTTTAGCCCATACTCAAAACAAACAAGGAAACAAGCAAGCAAACGAAGAAACTTTTTGTGGTGATTTTTGCTAGCACCTATGTTGAAATGTTGAATAGTACTTATGACAAATACATAATCCCCCATATGTTCTTGTCCCAATGCCCATAGCATATTGAGAGCTTAATACATATTTTTTTTCTCAAGCAGCAACCCATCCCATCTCCATCTCCTCTACAACAAGTTCTTGCCGGCCAGCCTGTTTGCCCTGCACAGCAGCCCACACCACAACTCTTACCCCAGTACCAAACTCCAACTTCTCAGGTGGCAGCTATCAGCACTCCACTGGCACCTTTGCAGATCCCTCCTGTGCAGCCACTTCCGACAGCCCCTCCTGCCCAGGTGAGCTTACCACAGATTTAATAAAGCTTCCTCATTTCCTTACTAACAATCCATACTCATAGTCCTTTTGTGTATCTTCTGTGCCTTTGTGTTTTGCTATGACTCTAGAAAGTTATCATGATAATGTTGATGTTGGTGATTATAATGTGCCTTGTTTAGAAAGTAAAATATTTCATGAAAATTAAAGAAGATGCATCGCTGCCTGTAGGTTTACCATCTTAATTATTGACCCAAAAGGGAAGAGAAAAGAGTATGGAGATGTCATTCATATATTAGAACAAATTAGTAGATCTTTCCTTCTGCATTCTGCTATAAAATTATAAAGTAAAATATAAAAGATACTAAGAAAACAAAGGGGAAAATGTAGGTCTTAATTTCAAAAGGAAAAAAGGAATGCTTTGCATTGGGTTGTTTCAAAGACTAAACAGATAGTTTGAACTGTAGCTAGGAGAGCTGGAACCCCAGTATGTTCTGAACAGTGTTTAGAGAAATTCCTAGATATAACGAAGTACGAGTAGCCTTATCCAGAAGTTACCTGACTCTGGATAACTGTGGCAAGGGTCTCTTTGCCAAGAAGGAGGTTGAGCTGAGAGAACACACTTTCCATGTTGCAAATATATGGACTTCTAGTATCAAAGTTAAGCAATAAGTGACCTCAGACTTTGCAAATAATTCTTCAGACTAGTGCAGTCCTATCCAGAACAGATCAAATTCTACCACCCATGAATACAAATCATGTATCAACAAATGAGGAACATTTTTATCTTCACCAGCAATAGAAAGGGAATTCCTTACACTATTATAAGAGTTCCAGCATTGATGAGAATTACATTTTGCAGAAAGTTAGCAATTTCTTTCACCAAATTGGCCAGTATTACACAAAGAAACATAATTAATACAACTGTGTGAATTGTACAAATTGCCTGAACTAGGATAATGATTATTTTGTACTGAAGCACTGAATAGCTTTCTTGCATCTCTCATAACAATTACTTCATGTTCTCTTGTGTGTGTTCCTCAGAAGGAAAAAGCAATTTATTGGTTTTAGGTGTGGGAAAGAAGAGTTATTTGTTTCACTCTTGACTGGATGAAAGATTCTTATGAGGTTTTAAGATTCTTTATTGAGGTGTTTCAACAAGAGCAGAGATCCGCCTGCTCGCTGAGGGGCCTTCAAGACCAATCTGAAGACATGGCTATACAGGCAGGCCTTCCCTGCAGCCATCACCTAGCCTATTTCTTTTCTTTCCCCCCCCCCTCTCTTTCTTTTCCCATCTTTCTTTCTTTCTTTCTTTCTTTCTTTCTTTCTTTCTTTCTTTATTTATTTATTTATTGGACTTATATACTGCCCCATAGCGCTACAAGCACTCTCCAGGCAGTTTACAATTTAATTATACAGGCTACATATTGCCCCCCCAGCAAGCTGGGTACTCATTTTACTGACCTCGGAAGGATGGAAGGCTGAGTCAACCTTGAGCCGGCTACCTGGGATTTGAACCCCAGGTCGTGAGCACAGGTTTAGCTGCAGTACAGCGTTTTAACCACTGCGCCACGAGGCTCTTGGACTCTGTGATTAATTCAGATTTTACCTTTGGCTTATTTTTTATGTTTTATGTAAACCACTCAGATGGGCAGTATATAAGTTTAATAAAGAAAGAAAGAAAGAAAGTTGGGGGAGCAACAGAAAATAGAATATTCTGCTTTTTTTAAATAGGTGGTTTATTTCTTTTCCTTGTTCATCGTTCACTTCTAGTTTACCTGCCTTGACAATTGCTTACTGTTTTGAAGAGAAATGGTTAATTGATGAAAAAAAAGTCATGTTCTGGGATTTTCCTTCCTTGGTATCTCTTTGTGAATGATAGGAAGCACAAAAGGGTATCCTGTAGCCCATCTTGACTGCTGACATTGATATAGTCAACATTCAGGCTTCCCTTTTGCGTAAAGTTCGGCATCTTTTTTCCTGCTGGCAAGGTGGGCATGATATTGTGCCGCAATATCAAGCCATTTCCTGGTGTTTTGAATTGTGGATACAGAAGCACAATTTTCCACATTCATAAAATGGAGGTTTTTTAAAGAATTTTATTCCCTGGGGGTATTGGAATGGAAGTTTAGAAGTGTAACTACACTACACAAAAATTCGAATAGCAACTTCCCTCACATAGAATTGTTGTTGTTTAGTCGTTAAGTCCTGTCCGACTCTTAGTGACCCCATGGACCAGAGCACGCCAGGCCCTCCTGTCTTCCACTGCCTCCCGGAGTTTGGTCACATAGAATTACCTAGTCCTAAAGGATCACAGTTTGACCAAACTCTGGCAGGTAGTGGAAAAGCTGTCATGGACAGGAGGGCCAGGTCCATGGGGTCACAAAGAGTCAGACATGACTTAACGAATAAACAACAAAAAAGGATGACAGAAAATAATCAAATGATCTATGATATGGTTCCTTGATGAGAGCAGAACCAAGAACAGCTGGGTTGTGACTCTAGCCCCTCTGTGCCAAAATAGTTTGATGGTCTGTTTTTGGACTTAATGAGATGGTAAAGCAAATGTTGAAGCAAATGTGTGAGTATGTATGCCACATACAATGGAAAAACATACGCAACCTTTCACTTCTCAAGTAAACTAATGTTGCCATGCCTGTACCAAAGAATGCAGACTATAAAGCTATCTTCCAGTTTCCAAACCCTTGCCCTACAAACATGCTGCCTGCATATTTTTCAAAAGATGTATCTTTGCCTTTTGAAATAAAAAAGTGGGGGCTGGGAGTTAGAATAGAACAGAATTGACTTTATAGGAAAGATTGTCACTGGAAAGCAAGGGCAAAGTGCACTGCATCCTACGCAGTGACGTAGTATGGGTTGCCAGCACCCAGGGCACGGCACTTCCCAAGACCCTTCCACCCGTCCAGTGTTGAATCCCTGGATTACCTTCCCTCTAAGCTGGACGTACGCTCATCTCTGCCTCCTTGCACGCAGCTCTCTTTCTCCACCACACAGCGATCGCCTTATGTTCTGGTCACGGCGGAACTCTGCACATGGGGAGGGCGGAGTTGCGTGCAAGAGAGGGTACGCCCAGATAGGCAGGGTATAAATCAAATAAATAAATAAATAAATAAGTAAGTAAGTAAGTAAATAATAATAATAATAATAATAATAATAATAATAATAATAATAATAATAATAATAATAATAATAATAATAATAATAATAATAATAATAATAATAATAATAATAATAATAATAATAATAATAATAATAATAATAATAATAATAATAATAATAATAATAATAATAATAATAATACGTTGCCTGGGTCCAAATCCCTACAGTCACAAAGCCCATCAGGTGACCAAGGGTCAGCCAGAGTTGCTCAGACTGACCTGCCTTGCACGGAGGTTGTTCTGAGGACAAAGTAGTGGGAGGGTATACCTGTGTGCCATCTTAAGCATCTTGAGCACGTTCAGTAAATAAGCAGAGTTACAGCCTGAAGCACCTTACCTCATGAATCCTGATGTTTCAGAGGTGGGCTTAATCAAGGATGCCTCTTTTGCAGGGTGGGGTTGGAAGGGAAACAGAAGCCTGACAGGGCAACCCCAATGGGACAGGCTATGCCTGGCTGGGCAGTGGGCCTGCTGGAGGCTGATGCCTGTTCAACACTCTCCCTTCCCCAGAAAAAAACATTTGCATGTATTACCATAACTGACCACTAGGGGGAGTCCGAGACCATGCTATGAATACTTGTTAGTGGTGAATACCTAGCATCGTCTCTGATAATGCATGTGGAAACAATTTTTTTCTGTTTTAAGAGAGTTCACTATTTTCTTCAGTATCCGTGGGGATATGAGGATCCTACTGTATCCTTCTTTCTGGAGGACTGTTACTGCATTACTTTCTTTAATGTAAGATGTACTTTTCTATTTAAAGAAAAATCTCTTCTGACTGTTTCTGTAACATTTAGTTGCCTTGCAGTTCCCCAAATATCTTCCTTTCCCACCCATGAATGCATACAATGTATAATTTCACAAAACTCTTATGGGCAAGCTTATGCCACATGTGCTTAGCATTACAACAAAGTTGCTGTTTTTTTCCATTTGAAAGGACTTTTTTTGAGATCAGTATTTCAGCCCCTGCAGTGTGGATTGTTTCCAGATATTAAAAAGTGGGTGTGGCCAACAATTCCCCCTCCCACCTAAGATAAGCAAGGTTATTTTTTTATGATCTATTTTAAATCTGGGGGCATTTGAAGTCCAATGTTTCCAAATGGTTAGTAAAACAATTGTAGTTCTTAAAAGAAAAGTCTCAAAAACTGTTTGTCCAAATTTTCCCAGATTTTGCACAGAGCAAGAGCAGATTGTTTGCTACAACTGTGCCAGATTTCAAAGGGAGGAGGGGAGGGACTGCCAGCAATTCTAGAATTGCCCTGTAGAATGTTGGTTTGTTCTGCTGTGCAGTATCATGGCTGCACTCTCCTTCAGCAATAATTTATATTTCTGAAAAGTGATCAAGTGCACTTCTAAAGAGAAATCAGATTTTCAATTTTTGGAAATCATGGAATACATTGACATGCAAATGTGCTATATATATATCACATTTGCATGTCAATGTATTCCACGATTGTATTCCGTAATTTTATATACCGGCATGTTTTCAATTGTACCATTTTTAAGTATCCAAGAACCTTTATGACAGAATCTACTGTGTAAGACACCTAAATCTGTGCATCAAATGGGGGAAAAACATGAGTATTCAGTGCTGAATTGAATTAGTGATAAATGATGAGTTTCGTGTTTTGAAAATCCATATGCATGTCTTTGTGCATGCCTTTAATGAATGGGACTAAACTCTTCAGTAGAAGTTACTGTTATGTGTAATCTAGTTGCATTCTTGTAAGGAGAAAATTAACAGTATGTACAGTTACTGCAGTTTCTTAAAAATATACAGTATACAATGTATTCACCTGAATGACATGTATTCCTAAAGGCTTGTGACAGAGGTTAAGTGTCTCTCAAACTTTATTAAATTTAAACACAATGTTTTAGGTTACTATATCTACCCTCCTATCCTTAATGTTATTGGTCAGGCTTGCCAGGCTCATACATTCACTGCATTGCCACACATGCTGTGGTGTTCCTTGCACAGGCTTTACAGATTTCCTTTCTGTCATTTCAAGCAATCGTAGGTGGACCTTCAGCATTTAGAAACTTACACAGTCATATCCTGTCAGTGTTATTTTTATCTGCTGTCATTCCATAATCTAAATTATTCCATGTATAGGTCTGTGAGCAATACAGTGTGCAAAATTGCATCTACTTCACATTTGAGAAACTCTGCATTCGTTCAGTTTGTGGAAAACACTAAGCAGCATGCAATTATATATAATTGCATATACTGTGTATGTTTTGCCCTGAATGAGCATCACTTTTAATTTGGGCAGAATGCTTGTCTCCTTTTCTCTTCAATTGAGAAAGTAGTGTAGAAATCCACTGGAGCTGATGAGAAGCCTGCTCAAACAGCAGGTTCATGGACAGAGTGGAAGAACCACCAGTCTGGGCTTCAGTAACACTTTTTGTAGTTGATGCGCAAATATCTCTGATGTGGCTACATGTGCAATAACTGAATGTTAACAGATTGTTGCATGAGTGGTATATTTTCTTTGCAGTAGTTTTTGATTATTCAGATTAGCATTGACGTCTTTTCTGGTATCTGTACAACCATTTTGCTCAATCTTAGCATTATTGTTGTTGTTTAGTCTTTAAGTCGTGTCCGACTCTTCGTGACCCCATGGACCAGAGCACGCCAGGCCCTTCTGTCTTCCACTGCCTGCCAGAGCTGGGTCAAATTCATGTTGGTATTATAGCATTATAGACTCTTGAAAATAGATGGAAGTCATTATTTGTCATAGTTATATGAGTGCGACAATTGAGTTAACATAACCATCCAAGAATGCTCTTGCAATTCACATATTATATTTTTTTTCAGATTCCTCAGTTTCCTGTCATTCCTGCTGTTACTCCTCTGGCAGGACTTGACAGCCATCCTCCAAACCTGTCTGATATACCTGCTGCAAATGTGCCCCCTATTCCTGCTCCTTCTCAGTTTTTCCCTCCAGCTGTGATTTTACCAAGCCTCCCTGTGAACCCTGCTCTGCCACTGACATCAAATTCCCCTGCCCTACCCATGCAAACGGTCAACCTTCCTCATACTACTGTGGCTCCCTTGGTCTTGCCCTGCCAAACAATCGTGCCAAATATGCCGGCTGCTCCAATACCATTACTTGCGGTGGCTCCATCGGGAGTGCCAGCATTGCCAACACATCCTGCGGTAGCCCAGCTCTCCCAGCAGCAAATGTACCAGGCTACCCTCCAGCAGATAATTCAAAACGAAGTTCTCTCTTCTCCCCATCACACTCAGAACATGCAAGCAGTTTCACAACAGCAGCAGCAGCAGCAGCTGCCTCCACTTCCTCAGTCACTTCAGCCAAGCATAATTCATCCTTCAGAACAGACTATGTCTGCATCTGGGGCTGGTAATCAGGTAATCTGTTTGACATTGGACTTTTTTTTGGTACTAGAGCATAGAGGAGTATTTCACCGGAAGATGAGTTCAGTAGATTGTTCCATTATAAAATCCAGGGGGACTACAAAAAAAAATCTAAATTTAGGGTCTTTGGAGGGGGGGTGGTTATTTAAAATACTATTGTCCCTGTGGAGGTCATATTAGGAAATGAAGAACTGGAGAATGATTTTGTTTCTAAAAACAAAAGAAAAAAACCTACCATACCATTGTGGAAATAAGATAATTGTAGGTAAACGGGATTTTTAAAAAGAAGTGGCTGTTCAAAGTAGGAGCACATGTAAAGGGCCCCGACTGTTAACTGCTGTCCAAGCGGCACAGCTTGGAAAAGTTACAGCTCCCAGAATCTTGCAGTCACTTGTCACGCTGTGAGATTCTTTCAGGAGAAGCCATTGTCAGAGTAAATAATGAGAGTATATGTAGACCAGTGGCTGCCTGTGACAGGTTGTATGTAAAGTGAAGAAAACTTGTCATTATAATTAAATCATTTATAATTAATGCCTGTGCACACAATTGTCTTCTAGACTTCAATCCTCTCTATACACATTTATCCTGGGAGTAAACCTCATGTAAATCAGTGAGGCTTACATCTGAGCTGACATGCATAGGATTGTTATGTTCTGATGACTGCCTTAAAGGCAAATTTTTTGCTTTCTCTAAGAGGGTTTTTTAAAAAAAGAATAATTTCTGAAATAATATTTTGGGGATATTTAAATAATAAGTAATATATGTGTTGTGATAGTTGCAGATTTTTGCATGAGTGAAGCACAACATAGGATATTAAATACATTTTATTTTTGTAAGTGGGAAATATTAAGTGTCTCTAATTTTAACAACTTATAGTAATATATAAAATAAAATAATACCATAGATACATTAAATATGATTTGCATAGAAAGGAGTTTATAGCAAGTATGAAAGCTGCTTAGATATGTCTTTCTAAAAATTGATTTTTTTTATAAGGAGCCATTTCATTTTATCATATTGTCCACCTTCTTAAAATTCATAACATTTCATCTCAGTCTGTCGTTCTGTATCTCCAACTTTACCGTATCTGAATTTCTGTCTTCAGCCATATATTTGGTACATAAATATTGTTTGTGAAGGATGGATGTCCATCTGAATCCCAGCCTTCCCTTCATTGAACCAATGGCGTTATTCCCATTGGCTTCCAAAGTAGTTGCCCCGGCCCTATAGCTTTCCAAAGCATGTCAGGCATCAGGTGCTGGTAAAGGTATCAGTTTTGTCTCAGAATCATGACTTGTTGCCAGAAGAGATCCCTGGTACATTCTAAGGTGTCTTGATTTGAAGACATTCAAGAATGTATATTAGCCTTCTGTGTCTTCCCAATGAAACATGGTTCAGAAAGGCATCCCAGGATGCCTCTGTTGCACTTATACTGGTGGTTGCTATTTTGAGATTTAAAAATAATCTTGGAAATTATTTTTGGCAGTTTATTACAATGTTGTAAAACGTTCCCCATTCTTCCCCAGTATTTTTGCCAATAGTGAAACAGCTGTAGCATCAAAATTTGCTGCTGACACATTCCTTGCAAAGAAGTTGTACGTTTTGTTAGTTTCACAAAACTCTATTCTGGTATTAATGCTTGTTTAGTCCTGAAAACACAAATCAAAATTGATTAATATTGAAACTTTTTTAAAAAATGCAATGAATGCCAGGAATGCAGCCACCTCTCCTCCCAATTTTGGTGTTTTACCTGAATCAAAGCATGTACAGTCATACCCAGAGACATCAATTATATGGCATGCTAATAGTACTAAAAGTGATTCTCTTTGTCTTCTGTGCTTTTTCTTGCTGCTGCCTCCTCTGTCTGTTTGTCTGTCTGTCTGTCTTCTGCATCCTACCCTTTCTTCAGTTTCCCCTTCAGGTAAAGCTTGATTCTGTAATTCTGGCATTTTGGACCAAGGAGAAAATTTGCATGGTGATGTGTATATGCTTTGTGCTCCTATGGAGAACATCTTTTTCATAAATCTATAACTGTAGAATATTTAATGTGGAATGCTACAAAAAAGAAGTTGCAACATGATCCTAAACCCTGCTCTCAGGGAGATTTCCCTTAATGTTGTGACTGTAACTGTGGAGGTTCACATATAATTTTCATGGCAAAGTGACTGGAGTCAATATCAAAAGCCCAAAAAGTCTTGTGTTTACAAATGTACTGTTCCACAGAGTTGGCAAAACTGTGCCTTCAAACTTTAATTATTTTATTTTTATTTCATCCTGCCCTGCAGATTATCAGATGTTCCACGGAGGGTCATCGTTATATGTTCCGCAGAGGATATTCATGTAGCAAATGGAATGGGTTCATATAAAATGAATATCATTTTATATACAAGCCCAAACCATAATGTGCTTGTGTGAATATGTGAGACACACACAGAGACACACTTTTGTTGTGCTGATTGTGACAAAGCCAGTTTCATACTAAAAAGCCCTACATACAGTGTATTTGCGAAGGCTACATACAGTGTTCAAACATTTTTATTTATCAAATACTTCTTTCCAATTCACAGAAGTAATGAGTGATGTTCTGATGGTTTGAAATACAGCCATGTTTAGTTCTTTTAGACATCAAAGCTTCTCTACTATAATCTCCCTTATGTTGGTATAAATGGGTCCTCTATACTATCATGTTTAATGATATGAAAGATTTTACAAGAAGTGAGTCTATATTTAGGGTACTATGGGTCTTGGCTCATAGTTGATGAATTACACTTTTAACCACTGATGTGTAGGAAACAGCTATACAGATAGGATTGTTTACTCCACAGCACACCATAGCAATTTTCAGTGATATGAAAATGCTCAGACACTAGTAGCAAATGATTGCATATGAACAACTGGCCATAGTACAAATTCCCATATGGATTGCATTTCATATATCCATGCCATCATTGTTTGTGTGAATGGGCCCTCCTTCCTTCCTTCCTTCCTTCCTTCCTTCCTTCCTTCCTTCCAGGAACAGATAAATAATGGTTTCACTGCAATATAATGTGGAAGGGGGTGTTTATCAAAGAAGATTTGTTTGTTTGTTTTCTTATTATGGGATTAGCTAAGTGAGTTATTAATAGTGTTCTAAATAGAAATATTCATAATAATCAGGGCAGCTTGTGAGGAGACTACCCTAAAGTTCTGACCAGGTCCCCAACTGCCTATGCTAATAACAGGCATATGCTGTGTTAAAACAGATCATTGGACATCATTCTTATGCGGTGGATGTTGGGACACAGATCCCTGCCTTGCCTGTACAACCTTCTGCAGTCATGTCACCACCCCTGCAGTTGCAGCCTGAAGCATTGCCTCCTCCCATTGGTCCAGAAGGCCTGTCACAAAATATCCTCGCTACAGTTAGTGCAACAATGACTATAGATCACAGTCTGCCTCTCCAGTCTACTGGCTATCTGCAAACTCAACCAGATAATCACCAGCCTCTGGGCCAACTAGTTCAAACCTCATGCCCAGCTATTCCACTGGCTACAGAATCTTCTCAAGAGGTATTACTCTTCTTACTTCTGAATCCTTGATGTTTTAACTATGAGAAAAGTTCACTGATGTATTTAAAGAGGTATGTTCTGGATAGACTAGGACTTAACATCTTGGTGGATTCAACTTCTGTGAATATTTTATGAACCTTATATGTTGTTATCCCATAAGCATTCAGTATAGTTCCTCTGGAATCATTCAACATTTTCAGTATTCATCTATGTGGATATATTTCCCCCCGAAAGCTTTCTGAGTGGTTCCTGTTCTTAGCTTAGCTTCTTCATTCAGGTCCCCATAATATATTATCAAAATAATGTATTATGTGCTTTATTTTCTGAACTTATATCCTTCCTTTCTCCCAATGAAAGGATTCAACGCGGCATACAACAGCTGAAAAAGTATGCATATATTTTAAATCACAATCAATTGATGTATTAATATTAAAATAGAATTACAGCTCTAACAATGCTATAAACACCACAAGTTTAAAACAAATTAAACAAATTTAAAACACATGATAAAAACAGATATGCTGTGTTCTGCATTAATAATTCAAATTGTGTCAGGAATTCATCAAAACGTTTAAACAAAAAAGTGTTCATCTTTTGGCAAAAGGACGGTAAGGAGGGGAGCAATTTAACCTTATGTAGGAGGGGGTTCCATAGAATGAGAGTAAAAGCGTGCTGCTTATATACCACCCTGTAGCACTTCAAGCACTCTCTGGGCGGTTTACAAGTTAATTATACAGGCTACATAGGACGAATATTGTCAATGGCCATTTTCCCATTCCAGTGATCAACCAGGGCTTCAACAGGATCACCTTTCAGGCTGATAGGAAACTCCCCATGATCCACCAGGAAAGTATTTGGATCCATCAACCCCCAAAGGCAGACCATCTTGATAGGAACCCCACACACACACACCTGTCCCTACAGAGCCTATGAGTTCCAGGGAGTCTAAACTCCACCAAGTAGTGCTCTTTCCATGAACACAGAACTGTAGAGATCCTATCCACACCCAGATCACTCATCTTGCCCAACACAGAAAACTAGGTCCAGCTTTGATAACTGGGGCCAGTTATCGCTTGAATCAGGCCCATGGTTATAACAGAGGACATGGTCCTGAGCTGCTCCTGATAAACTGGCCTCAGCAGGGATGCTGGAGTCCCCCAGCACAACAAGCTGACTGGATTCCAGTATCACCTCCAAAATCAGCTTGGCTAGCTCTGGAAGGGAAACTTGTGTAACAGGATGGGCAGTACACCAACAGAATCCGTGTTGTGTCCCAGGCTACAAGAATTCACATGCAGACCCAGGAAAATGTGGGACAGGTGAAGAGAATGGGATCAGGATAGGCCACTGCAATTCTGTGCCTCCCTCACCTCTCAAGTTCTAGCCTACTGCTGAAGTTGGGTAATAATAACCAAACACCTATGTTTTAGAGTCTGAGCTTTTGTAAGTCTTTGGTTAGAATCCACCACTGTTGCCAGCTTATTGTTTTGGTACTTCTCAATTAGAAGTGTGGGTTCAGAGTCATCACGTCTGTTGTTAGCTTGTTCAAAGAAAGTCTGCTCAGAATAAAAGTTTGCACTTCTGGTGCAAATATACCCATCTTAATTCTCAACCACTGAAATCGGTGGGAATTCCCCATGCTTTAACATAGTTGTGCAGATGGAATAGATTGGGTTAACAACCGTAAATACTTACTTACTCTGTGTGCACATGGAATGTGCAAAAGATTGTGTTACGTTGGTGTAGAAATGCCACCTTTGCACCATAATTTTCCACTGTAATGCTGCTGAAATAATTATTCCCTTTTTACATTTAGGAACATGCAGCGCTGGAGAAGCAGCCGTCACTATCACAGAGCTGTGAAAGGTATATTTACTAATATGTTCATGAAGCACAGGGGATCTGGAGCACTTTTTGAGGGGTGCTTTCAACTCATGTGGAATAGCGTTTCCCCCCCCTCTGTTTAGCATCTCTGTGTCTCTTTGTCATGTGGATCATCTTTTATATATTGAAAGTGTAATGCAGAATACACTCCCTTACCCTGCAGTAATAATTGGTAAATTAGATACCTTGTCTTCCATTATTCATCTTCTCATCATTTTAAAGCAGTGTTCCAGTGCCCCCAAATCTCCTGTTACCTTTTGCTGATGTAGCCACCAGTTTTCCCTTTAATGTGTAGTAGAGCATGGAAGTATTCTGTTACTGGTGCAGAGTCTGTGAAGAACAGAGAGGTAAAGAATTAATTAGGCATGATTAGGTACACTACATGTATGTAGAAAAACTTGCAGAATTTTTTTCCTGTGGAATTTATTGTACTTCAGTTGAAAACAGAGACTATTCTCTTCTGTTTTGAGTATTTTCTGTGATCTTCAAACATTGATGATCCTGAAACTTTTTCCAAGGAAGCAGCCATGTTAGTTTGTTGCAACAAAACAACAAACTGTAACCTAGTATCTTAAAGACTAATAGGTTTGATTTGGCGTGGATTGGACCACCAGGAATTCTATATTAAGCCCCAGGGCTTGAGGTATATAGTTGGTATATAAACTGCAGTAAGTCACTGGACATAAGATTATTAGAAGAAATTTGAGAAGTGCCGTGCACTTCTGAATACACCACAGAGAGCACCATTGGGATGGCTGACAATCAAGTGAAAGAGCCGAGATGAAGCCCAAAGGATGCTCTGTCCATGTGGAGTAAGTTGGTGAAGATAGTACTTCTCACTATTTTTGGAATAAATGAAAATAAAAACTACATTTAGATAGTGATATTGTATAGGTGTATTGCTAAACACAACAGGTAAAATCAACTATTTTAAATGATAGGTCACGGAAATGGCTCTGCTAGTGACCGAATGGCTGAAATCCTATTGCTCAGTTACACAGATGGCAGAAGTTCTAAATGTGAATTGCCATAAGTTAAGAAATCTCTGTAAGCATTAATTGTTGCATCCCCACATACACAACTCAGTATGCAACAGATTACAGAATGTCTATGGAGATTTCCACAAGTTACGCAATTTACATATCTGTGCAACAGAAGTTCAGCTACTGCTGAGCAAAGTAATATTTTGATCTCATGCTGTGATCTTAGCCTTCTTTACATAGTGCTCTCCAGATGTGTTGGAATGATTCTTCCAGCAATTGCAGCCAGCATGGCCTTGCAGTATAATAAATCTGGAGGGTACAAAGGTGGGCAGAGGATAGTCTAGTGAGTTTCAGCTGGTTTTGATAGAATGCTTTCAAAAAGGTTGTGCATTCATGCTGTTTTGTCTTCTTATGCCTTCTCCATCCTTATGGCAAAGCTATATGAGTACTGATGTTGCTTCTGGTAAAGAAATGAGCGACAGCTTTGAAGGAACAAGTGGAAGTGGAAAACAAGAAGGAAAATCTTCGAAGAAACATAAAAAATCAACACGTGCTCGTTCTCGTCAGGAAAAATCCAACAGGCCCAAACTGACAATTCTAAATGTATGTCATCTTTGTTAGTAGGTTTCATTTGTTCAAGCTTTACTTAATATATTCAACAGAGTTTGTAATAATGCTTTATTATTTTAATAGGTATGTAACACCGGGGATAAGATGGTGGAATGTCAGCTGGAAACACATAATCACAAAATGGTTACATTTAAGTTTGATTTAGATGGTGATGCTCCAGAAGAAATTGCTACTTACATGGTAAGATTTTCCTTCACTTGGAACATTTGGAATATTAGTAAAATATAACTTTTGTTTATTAAATGGGTTCCGCAGCCATCCCTGCACAGCTAGAAAAAAATGTTTCTACCTATCATTAGTAGTGAGATGTTTGGTGCTAGTGAATTTTACTTTCTGAGTCTACTTCTAATCTGTGTACATGGTAAGAATGCTAGAGGTGAGATGTTCCCTCCTATTCCTATGTGTCAGCCATTAATGCTGTCTCTGCGCTGTGTCTTTGGGCAGCAATTTCAGTCTTTATACTTATACCAGTGGAATAGCTTCGGCCTGTTCAGGGAGCAGGTGTGCTGTATCAGTTATCAGTGTGCAGTGCTGACCTTTAATACTTCCCAGTAAGAAGTTATTGCTGTGTATCTGTGGTTCCAGAAAGTCATGACATAACTATAGGTGTGATCATACATATACTCCCAGAAGTGAACCCTACTGAATGTCAATACACTTCTGAGAAGGCTTGTGTTGGTGTGTACTATGATAATGCTGTTGAGTGGGTTCGGAAAAGTTAAACCTATCCTCAGTTGTTCTGATAGTAGGCTGTTGTAAAATCAGAGCAAACTCAAAGTTCACAGTAATCCATGAGCTAGCTAGTCTTTATACCTTTCGCCTATTTGCCAAAAAAACCCTCCATGCAGTGAAACATTAATTTGCTGTATAATCAAGATACATCGGTTACACAATAACAATGAATAATGTCTGCGGTATTTTTCAACAATATTTTACAGGCAAAGATTACTTAATTTCAAGACTAAATCCTAAACTACAGCACGTGGAAGTTTGTTTGTGTAGTTGTAAAACTTCTTTATACTGCATCATATTTTTAAAAGGGGATAAATGGTCGTTGCTGTTATGTGAAGTCAAGGAGAATATACGGGCTAAGGACTAGTAATAGAATAGTTCCTAAAGAATATTTCTGTGCATTCAAACAGGTAGAAAATGAATTTATATTGCCTACTGAGAAAGAGATATTTATTGAACAACTGAAGGAAATTATTGATAAAGCAGAAGATATGCTTAGTGAAGATACAGAAGGGGAACGAAGTTCTGATCAGGGTGCAAGCCCTCAGCAAGATACTTACCAGATGGATATGAATGAGGTATTATTTTTAAGAAATCCATGTTATGATTTTTTTAAAAAAATATGTATTATCTTTAATAGCTTACTTAGCCAACACTAAAATTTAATTGTGCTCCCATTCTAATAACTTTTTCATTTTAAATAGGAGCATCGCCACTCCCAGGCAAGAATGCCAGTATACCAACAGAATGGTAACATTTTTTTATGAATTATATATGTGTATTTATGTATTATTTCAAATTTCATAGATATTAATAAGTAACCCACCAATATTTATTTATTTATTTATTGCATTTATATGCCGCCCATCTAGACATAGTCTACTCTGGGCGGCTCACAAATAGAAGCCCAAATAGCATAGGCTTGATGAGTATTACAAGATCAACAGTATTTTGACTAACAAGAGTCTAAGATGTTACAATAGGGGCAATAAAGATGACTGGCTGCTCTTAACATTTTAGATAATTTCAAACGGTTCATCCTGAGACTCCTTTATTTTGGAAAATGAGTTATTATTACCTTCATAAAGGCATATTCCAGCTGATACTTTGAGTCTTAAAAATGCCTGTTTGTATACAAGCATGTGCACACATTTCACAGAAACAATATGAATGGCCTTTTTTTATTTTCATTACTTTTTGCAGAAAATGAAATGTGAAATATGTCTACAATAAGACTTTGTGTAGCATATTTTTAAATCCCCGAACCTTACAGCCATACAAAGATTTGATTTCAAGTTTGTTTGTTTTATTCCTTAAAACAATGATTCTGTCTCAGAATTACATATAGGTCAGTATCCTGTTGTGTAGCTTTGTCTGTGTAATGGGACAGATATCACCAGCTATGGCAGATTGCCACTAAATAACAAATTCCTTCTTCTTTTTTTTCAACTGGAAGATGTACATGACCTTTCATCATGGCACACAAGTCATGCTCACCATGAATTTTTTTAAAGGAAGCTTTTAAGTTAGTGCCAATGTGCCAGTGACATAAATCTTGTTGTGAAGGTAGAGCTATGCAGCTGGACACTGGCAACAATATAATCTCCTTTGGCATGTAGAAGTATTTGCATATAATTGTACTTCTGACCAAACATGAAACAGATATTTGTCTATGCTGATTTCTTTCTCCTTCTTAGGCTCCGCCCATTTTGCTTTTTTGCTTATCTATCCCTTACTCTTCAGACTTGCAATGGATTAAATCTATCATTATTCCCACCTAGAGTAGTCCCTCTGGCTCTCACTTAATTGAATGAAACCAATGGCACTTAATTTAGTTGTGACTAGTAAGTGCTGTTCATTTCAGTGTTGTCAACAGTAGTATCCCACTCAAAACAGGAAAAAATATATTCAGAACCTTTTAAAATATTTATAGACAATTATTTTAAATCCCATGTAGGATTGGGCGGCAATTTTAATAGTAGTCATTGTTTCCAGTTCTCAAACGTTCCCCCATATGGAGGCATAATGTTTCAATATAGTTCTGCATGACAATTTGTACTGTTGCTGATTTTGAGGGTGATGATGATGCAGTAAATGCTAGTCCAAATTGATTAATAGCAGCTTCTTGGCAGTTGTTATATACCACCTTTGAACATTTTAATCCTTTTCTGGTCAGTTTTGCATACAGGGAAACGCTGGTTTATCATTTGTCCTGTTGTGGAAAATCCAGTTGCCGAAACCCCAGACCTCTCTTCCTCTGTTCCTCAAAGTACAAAACAGCCTGAACCTGCAGGTATGTGTAAACTTTAGAGATTTGACTTTGAAAACTTGCTTTCAAACTGTTGTAAGAATGAAAAAATATCAGATGAAAAGGAAAAGATACATTGGGAAGAGTTAGTTTTTCTTTTCTCCTTCCCCTTGCTTTGCCCCTGCTACCTGACAGGGCACCACCAAAAATACAGCCAAAAGAAAAGGGAGAATCCAACAAAAAAAAGTCCTGTATATTTCAAGAAGCAATTACCTTCCCAGGATATTGGAATCATTCATTACCCAGAAGGATTGAAAGAGCTAAGGGCAAGCAGTATCTTTGTGTGAACTACTGAAAGTCACATGGATTTCAAAACCTTGCTGCAAGAAGTACACATATATGGAATTTTAGCTTGATCCTATCTTGTGTCACTTGTTAAGCAGCAGTTCAAGATGCTATGACATAAATGAATTTTAAAGACCCATGTAACATCAAACACCTTCTTATCAATCTCAGTTTTCCAGCTGTCTAAATCAGAGCAGTGTGTGATTGCTACCAATAGCCAATAAAGTACAACATACTTTGCATTAGGAAAATTAGTAGGTAGAATTGTAACAGCCGCTGAACATTGTCTTTAAAAATATGTAGAGCCAACCATGAGCGCTCTGTTTATTTGGTGAATATTATCCCAATCATTTTAAAAAAACAGTCTTAGATGAGGGAAGGGCTTCATTCACTTAGTGTGTTTTATAATGTTTTTTCTGATGAGATAACTTCTGCCCCACAGTGCTATTTATGTTTCATATGTTTGCCTCATCTTAAAAAAAGAAAAAAGAAAAATGTTGCTCTATATGCTTGCTCTTCACACCACGCACATGGCAGAGGAATGTTCTAACTGAGTGTTCTGACAGGATCTCCTCAGTTGTGCACAGTTAAGCACTCCCTCCTTTTCCTCACTTCCATTTTGATCACTGCATAGGCAGTCTTGTGGCACTTGCTCTTGGCCAAAGTGGACTTTGAATGTTATTTTAACATTTTCTTTGTTCCTTTATTCACTTCCATAGCAATTTTTATATTGTTCTGTCTACTTCATTTCAATCCATTTTATTTCAAACAGTGTTTTTCTGTGTTGATGCCAGCTAAAAAAACACAAGCTTAAAGGCCATGATGAATCTGAACTTGAAATGAAAAAAATGTAAGGGCTTGTCTACACAGGCTTTTCTGGAGTGGTCCAGTGTGGGTTAAATAAAAAAGTTGCTAGGCATTGGGTAGAGGTGTAATGTGCTATTTAGTGCAATCCTCACATCAAAATGGCATACCAGCACTCATGTGATCCTATTTGGCGTGACTCGTTCCAGTGGGATTGTCTGATGTTACAAAGTGCCATAAGAGCCACTTCAGAATATTGACAAATTAAACACTTCCTTTGCTCCTCGGTGGAGGGGCAGAGAAAGTAAAAAAAAAACAACCCTAGATTCTATTAGTGCAGTGTAGAAGTGCTGCATCACTTATAATATATTTTTTAAAAATCTTTTGTTTTGTCTTTTCTTAAAGGGTCGGTCAAGAAACCACCCGCAGCTAAATCCACTGGTAACTGATGACCCTGCCCCCACAAAAAAAAGTAGAAGCTCCTGTCAGAGGTTTAGAAATGTGTGGGTAGGAATGCTTTGGGGTTTAATTTGGTTCACTCCAAGGATTATATTGTGTGATCGCTGGAAAAAGGAGCAAACCAACTCATTTCTGCAGTGTACCAAACAGTAGACTAATTGTCCATCTGATTGTACCCTAAGCTAGCCTCTTCACCTACAGGTCCATCAGTTTCAGCAATGCAACTACATGATTTGCAGATCTAGAAGAATATACCTTGAATACTGCTGCTCCAGTCTCCCACTGCAACCCTTGATAAAGGGTAAAAGGTTCTGTCAAACTGATCATGTAACAGGTTCTATATAGAATGGGGAAATCTGTGAGAAACCTTTAGATACCATTACACCCGGATCAGAGGGCTCAATTATCTTGATACCCTGAAGAGTTTTTGACACATTTGCAATTCTGAGACTGTTGTCCCCTTAGGCAAGATGACTTGTTTTCCACTTTCTCTTATCAGGAATGTCCAGAATCATCTCTTCATTGAAGTAGGATTAGAGGCCTATTCCGTCTCCTTCACATTACAAATCTGGTCTTTCCTTCCAACATCCCCCTCTTCCTGTTTTGTAGAGTCCCAGCAGAAAAAAGGGTTGTAAATGTGACAGTATGGATAGATGCCTGTATTCTTTGGTAGTTCTTGCAAATAAATACATATCTCTAAAAGCAAGGCTAGTTATCAGTTCTTCTTTTGAACAGAAGACAGCACACATGGCTTCCTTTTGGCACATTTCTCCACTGAGTCTCAAATGAAAATTGGACCTAGTCTTTTTGGTGAATTGGACCTAGTCTTTTTGGTGAAGCTCTAAACAGAATACAGAAACTCAGGGACGGGTCCCAAAAAATGTGGATGAACCACAAGTTTGCCACCTCCTATTTCAAATTCTAATCATGGGCTTGTTGAAGCGCAGATCTTCACTTGCATAGTGTTCTTCTTGGTTGTGTTCTCTAAGCCTAAGGAAAGTCTAGGCCCAAAAACTACAGTCTCAGTGTTGACAACAGTCTCATTTTGAGAAATAAGTGTTTGGCTACTTAATGTGCTCCCCGAAATGCCACTGTTGCTTGCTCCCATCAAGGGTGATCATAGGCTTTAGCTGTACATGTAGGACTTAATAACAATGGAGTTAAGTTGGTACGAAAAATAATTGATCATTGCTGTGCCATCACAAATCCCACTGGAACCACCTGCATCACTTCACTGAGCATAGAACTTATCTAAGAGGTCTCCAGCCCCCCCGCCCCCCCACACCCAAAAGCAAACAGAAGGTCCAGCAGCTACATTACAAATGTGTGTTTTTCTCAATGTTTTACAGTTCCAAAACACAATGAAGGAAGGTAGCTGTTTTTTATGTAATAAGGCTCTCAGTTTATTTATCCATATCACCAGGGGTGACACTCAGATATATTATTCCTCTATTTGCAGCAAGTGAATTATTTCACTTCCATTAATCTGTGCGATACTTATTTTCATGAAGCTGTCTGCCCACATTATTCTTGTTACCTTTCATCTGCTACTGTGATCTCTATTACTTCTGAGTCTTGCCATTTGACTTGAATACAATTTTTCCCCGCCCCCCATTTTCACAAATGTTTTGGTGATTTTCATTGCCTTTCTTTATAGAGCAGCCATTTGATACTTGCTCTTGACATCATATTCTCTTGCAAGATGCTTGATGCCCCGAGTTTAGAGACACCCAAACTGACTCCATCTCAGTTCATTGCACTGGCACAGAACTTGATTCCTAATTGATTCTACTGCCATCTAGATTCAACACTCTTAGCTCTCTAATAGTCATATTGTCTTCATCAAAAACATCTCAAGTTGCCCTTCTCCAGCTATAGACTCCATCACAACCCACTTGCCTGCTGTTGTCCTCTCCAGGCTTCTTGGGATCGTTAACATCAGAAGAGACCATCAATCTCTGCTAGTCTCATCCAGCAAATCATATAAGATGATGATTGCTCTGGTGGGTGAATCCAATATAAAGGCAGGCCATTCTCATATAGGATGTTGAGCACCATGTGACACTCTTGTCAGTTTGATCCTCTGCAGAGTGAGATCTCCATATCAACACTCTGGAATTGTTAATAGTTTCAAGGGTTCTCAGAAAATTTGAACATGTAATAGTAGTCACTGCATCTGAATTATCACAGTCCATATGACAGTGATTTATTGCTCAATCAAGAAAGGAGGGACCAGCAGGAGATGGAGCTTGACTGCAGTGAAGCCAGTAGCTCCCGGCTAACAGCTCTCGGGAAAAGCTGGAACCACCCTGCTCTAGAAAGGGGGGGACAGAAGGGGAAGCCAGGAGAGGTCACCCCCAAGCAGATGGTGAGCCCAGAAGGTAGAAGATTTGGCAGGAAGAAAATTCACCCAAGTACGGACCGGAGACGGGAGGCCATCTTATGGCAGAAAGCTGTGGGAAAACTCCACCACCAATTCCTGAAGAAGGAGAACAAAAATACGGCTGAAAATACACAATAACAAAGTAAGTCTTTATGAATAACCTCATTAAGATGTTAAAGAAACTGAAGTGAAAATACCTGACCGAAAGGAGAGAGGAAGCGGCGAGACGGCATGCCAGCCTGTTTTTTTTTTTTTTTCTCCAAAGCGAACTGACTTTTAAACACCAAGTTTACAACTAGCAGACTGGCTCAAGGTCAATGAGATAAGACAGCGAGATGGAAAAAGTTAGTGTTTCTGGGGAAAAATCCCAGTGGAAATATTACTCAACAATCTTTAAGGAATTGAAATCTTGTTAATGCTGTACAGTCTGGATTCTTCTTACTAGTTTGAATGGGTCTTTGAAAATAAAAGCTTGTCTTGGGAGCAGGAGGCATAAGCTTGTGGGAAGAAAAAACAGGCGATGAATTATCAGTGTGGCGACATAGATTGAAGAACTGGAAAAGCCCTCTAGGAGCAACCGACAGTGAATCATCAGCTCATGAGTGAGAGGAATTTAACAGAATAGACTGAGGACTTAAAAAAAATCAGGGCTGGAGTTATTGAAGGACTATAACAATTTTTTTGAGAGAGACTGGTTCCCTGTGTCGTGTTCGGACTATTTGAATTTGCTGTGGATTTTGATAATATTGCTATAATATCTGGATAAGGATACTATTTGGACAATAACTGGACAAGGAGGGGAGGACATTTCTGGAGAGGGTTTGGTTTGTTGATAAAATAGTGGAATAAAAAAACTAATATTATTTATACAAACTATATATACTGGAGAAATGGAAATGACCTCCAAAAGGTTGGGAATTTTGCCAGATAATGAATAGCTGGTTACTATGCAAATGACAATAATAACAGGATTCCAGCAGGTAAA